ACTGAACTGTACAATAGGCAGTGAGGACATGGCAGGCGGCATGCACAGATGAAGAAAAGGAAAATGGGCAGGGAGGTTAAGTGATGAGCATGGCCATATGGCCAGGCTATGCTGGTCCTCCATCCAGACCCACCTGCCTAACTGTTCTCGTGGTTACCAGAACAGTTAAATGTGCCGAGTGTGGTGGAGGGCAAACTATGTAGCAGGGGCTGATTAGAGGAGAGATGTTTTGAGGCTTTCTGTTTTAAAGAAAATTACCACAGAAAGTTGGTGCCAGTAACTGTGCTTAAATTTATTCTTTCACTCTTTTGTCAATGAAGAAACTTTTTTTTTTTTGGAGAGATTTTCACTGTAGGGCGCGTGCGCTCGCCAGACAGACAGAGAGAGACATAGAGACAGAAAGCGAGAAATCACCCCCCAGGGGGGATGGTCATGCCGCAATCCCTACGCTAACTGCTGGTTCCCTTAAATTTCTTTTTTAATTTATAAGAATAGCAGTTTTGGGGGAACCAGCAGTTAGCGTAATGGCTATGTCGCTGGACTCCCACGTAGTCGACCGCAGTTCACGTCCTGGACCCAGTGGCTTAAAACTCATGCCGGGCGCGTGTGCGTGCGTGCCCAAGATCCCGAGAGGAGAATGGAGGAGAAGGGATTGCGGCGTGACCATCCCCCCTGGGGGGTGATTTCTCGCTTTCTGTCTCTATGTCTCTCTCTGTCTGTCTGGCGAGCGCACACGCCCTATATGCACCCTATAGCAAAAACCTCTACAAAAAAATAAAAGAATAGTGGTTTTATTCAAGGCACAATTTGGAGGTCCAAGGTCTGGGGACTGCATCTGATAAAGATTTTCCAGCTAGTGAATAACATAATGGAGGGCAAGAGCTTGAACATACCAGAGCATGGCCGTGAGAAGGACTGAGACACTGTTTGTGTTTCTGTTCTGGTTTGATTCTCTCTCTTTATGAATCCACCCATATTCAGTGAGGGGCCCCACTCTGATAATCTTATCTATTCCTTATCACCTTTCAAAGGCTCTCTTTATTTATTTTTTAATTAATTTTAAAAATTATTATTCATACTTTGAATCATTATACATCATTTAGATTGTGAAGAGACTTTACTCAGCATAATATACCTCAGTCCAGCCCAAACACCATACACATCCTCTTCAACAGATAATAAATGTTATCTGTGTCCCGCAAGTGTCTTACCTCTCCATTTCTCCCCAAATCTCCTTTCCTATGCTCTTCCCCTCCCACACTCTCTTTCCACTTTGTCTCTAGTGTCCATTAAAAATTTGAATGCTTTTATGTTCTCCAGTCTTTCAGTCTCTACCATAGAGTGCAGACAGTCAGTGTATGTTAAGTGGAGATGTACGATGTCTCTCTTTCATAGCCTGACTTGCTTCACTCAGCAACAAATCTTCCTATATGTCCACTTTCTATCAAATTCCAGGGCCTTGTTGTTTTTCATGGCTGAATAGTATTTCATGGAGAATGTAAATTGGTTCAGCCACTGTGGAGAATCATATGGAGGTTCCTCAAAGACCTTCAAATAGAACTACCATATGATCCAGCAATTCCACTCCTGAGTATCTACCCAAAGGACAGGAGAACGCTCAGTTGGAAAAGCACTTGCACATCTATATTAATTGCAGCATTATTCACGATTGCTAAGACATGGAACCAACCCAAATGTCCGCAAACAGATGAATGGATTGAAAAACTATGGCACATATACTGTTTTAAATTTCTTTAAAAACTTCCATATGGTTTCACATAATGGCTACACCAGTCTACATTCCCACCAACAGTGTGTTGGATTCTGTTTTCTTCACACCCTTGCCAACACGTGTTATCGTTTTTTTTTTTTTAATTAGTTATCCTAACAAGTGGGAGGGGATATCTCATTTTTGATTTGCATTTCCATATTGATGAGTGATATTGAGCATGTATTCATATATAAACCTGTTGGCCATTTTTGTTTCTTCTTTGCCCATTTTAAAATTGGATTATTAGTATTGAAATCGAGTTGATGAGTTTCTTACATATTCTTAGTACCTCTTATCTGGTACATAGTTTGCAGATGTCTATCCCAGTTCTTTGGGTGCCTTTTCACTGTTGATTGTTTCTGCTGCTGGGCAGAAACATGGTATTTGATGTGGCCCTACCTGCTTCCTTTTGCATTTGGTGAGATACCAAAAAATCCTCACCAGGATCAATATCGAGATTTCTTCCTGTACTTTTTTTTCAGGAGTTACATGTTTGGGTCTTATGTTTAGGTCTTTAATCCATTTTGAGTTGACTTTTACATATGGTATAAGATAAGGGTCTAGCTTTATTCTTTTGCATGTGACCATCCAGTGTCTGACACCGTTGACAGAGACTGCCCTTCCTCCACTGTGTCTTCTTGGTGGCTTTGCCAGAGATTGGCTGTCCATGTATGCTTGGGTTATTTCTGGGCTTTCTGTTCTTTCACTTGTTCTGAGGGTCTGTGTAAGATGTGATTTTTTACTGTGTACAACTTAAGTTATCAGACGCAAGACCAACCAACCAAGAATTCTCTAGTTGACCCAATGAGTTCCTTTCTTTTCAAGCAAGATTGATCTGCTGTTTCTCCAGCTTCAGCCTCTGAAGGCACACTATTTCTGACCCAGCTCCTCAGGACATGCTGCACTTGCTGTGCTGAGATTCAAGTCTGCTGCCATGTCCTCGCATACTAGGAGTAGAAGTACCTCTCCTCTGCATGGCTGTAGTGGCAATAGAAGCACCTGCGGGTATACGCTCATCTCTGAAGGCCTTTGTTCACCGTCCACTCAGTCCTCCTGACAGCCCTCTACCCTTGTCCCCACTTTACAGATGATAGAAAACAGGCCCAAAGGCCGGTCTCTGGCCAGTGCTATCTGCAGAAACTGGATGCTCCCCCTTCTTGCTCCAGGCTCCCTGGACTCATCCTGGGTGCAGAACAAATGCCTCTCCTCCCTGCTCTGTTCAGCTCAAGCTTTTGCTAGGCTGTTGCCTTGTGGAGCTGGACAAGCAAAGCAGGTCTGTGTGTCTGCCTCTCCTCTGACTCTGCAAGGCTGAGATATGTTCATGCCTGGCACATGCCCGCTGCTCTATAATGCTGGTCACACACGTTAGTCAGCAAGTCAGGGAGAAGAATTTATGCCTTAAAAATATGTGTGGAGAGAGTCTGCATTGCTTCCTTCCAGCTCTGTGCTAAGAGAAGCATGGACTCTGAGGGGTGGGGTCAGGTTCTGCTGTGTTTCTGTGTGCTAGCTCTTAGCTGCACTCCCCTCCCTGTTAGCAGAGGAGTCACCACCAGGCCTGCTGTAAGCGTCAGAGGAAACCCCCATTGAGCTCTGCCAGTTTCACCTTTTCATCTCTCCCAACCTCCCCCTACTCCGCCCAGTGCTCTCCAGGGTATGTCAGAGGAGAGGAAAATGAACCCAGCTCTGCAAGCATGGCTCAGTTTTGAGAATATTACTGATCCAGCTTGGAAAACCCAGCAGTGCCAGTGACTGTGAGTCTCTGCCTTTGCTGTGATGCAAACTTGTTCATTCCACGTTGTAACCACATCCTTCCTGTCCCTGCTGTGCTGTGACCACTATAAACTCGTCACTTCTCCTCTCTGATTGTTCCTGAGGCTGGCATCTGGGTGAGTCCAGCTCCTAGGAGCAGGAGGGATGAAAGGATTTGGGGAGGAATAGTTGGGGGTGTGTCAAGTGGGCAGAACTTGTCTTGGTTACTGGATTAGGAATCTCTTCAGCGAGCCTCCCAATCTGTCCTTCGGTTTTTATGTTTGTCATTATTTGGCCTCTGTGTGTGCAAATGCATGTGTGTATCCATGGGGGCAGGATGAAGACAAGAGCAGCAGCCACAGGGTACACCTGTGACATGAGTTGATTGGTCCAGCATCCTCCAGGGGAGAAAATGGGACACACAGGAGGAAACCAAGGGGCAACAGAAGTAAAGGTCAGAGTGTGTGCACGAAGACTAGGGTTGAGGTGCGTAGAGAAGAGGCTGAATCCTGATGTGAAAGGAGCTGGGAAGGGCTGCAGAGCTGGTGGCACCAATCTGGAGGTCACAGTCCTCCAGGTGCATAAGGGATGCCTGTGGGAGGCACAGGAGGACAGGAGTAGAGAGCAAGAACAGAGACAAGACAGAGAAATGAGCGAGTCTGAGATGTCTTAAACATTGATATTCAATCTTATGAATTCCAGTTTGGGTAGTTTTCATTCTTTTTCATATCCTCTCTCTCCCTTTAGCATTATTGATGCTTTGAGTTAATGTAGCACATTACAAAATAGGGTAAATAAGAGGCTTGAGGCAAGAACAGTCACAGACAGTCAACTTGTTCACCCATAAACTTCAGGAAGTGTGGAATATCTGGAGACAGAGCAAGTGGAACTGAAAGTCTGGTTAGAAAGACTGTCAGTAAACATTTCAATAAAAGGCTATGTGCGATCACATAGCCTTGGGGGAGTGTGTACTTTTTAACCATTTGTTTTGTGGTCTTTGTTTTTGTTTCTATCTTACTGAAACACCCAGATGAGTGGTAGGAGACAGTTTCATACTATTTTGAGCTGTGAACGGCTGGTTAGGGGAAGAGTAAAAAATCTTGACTCTGTCTGGTCTAAATGTTGGCACTGCCCCTTTCTAGCTGTGAACCCCTTGGAGAATTGCCAAGCCTCCCTAGTATTCTGCCTCTACATCTATAAAACAGGGCTGGGGGACAAGCAGATGGTGTAACGGTTATGTTGCTGGGCTTCCACATAGTTGACTGTAGTCTGAGTCCCAGATCCAGCAGCTTAAAATTGGGCATGTGTGCATGTGTTCCCAAAATTGTGAGAGGAAAATGGAGAAGAGATTGTGTGTGGCCATCTCCTGGGGGTAATCTCTTGCTTTCTGTCTCTCTGTCTCTCTGGCAAGCACACATGCCTTTTAGCAAAAATCTCTTAAAAACAAAACAAAACAAAAAAGAATTATCAGGGCAAGGAGTGTACATACCTCAGGTTAGATGGAAAAAATATCAGTGTGGGACCTTGCCCATGGGAAGTACTAAACAAATGTGAGTTGTAATAATTGTTATAATTGGGAATATTGTAAGGAGACATTAAAGCAATGTATATGTTTATTATTCTCGCTTATGCACCCAATGTGGGGTGCCCCTCTCCCACAAGCTCTCTCCCCTCTTTGGCCACATGCTGCCCCATTGCACTGTGGTTTCAACTCCCGACCTCTTCTTTCTTTTGCCTTTCATTCATCTTTCTTTAGGTCAAGACAGAAGCAAGGAACCAGAATGCCCTTTCATTTTATAAATGGGAATGCTGGGATTGAGGAATAGTGAGGAATTTGTCCAGTGTCATAGCCTGGTGATCAATGGAACCAAAATTCTCTTAGTGCTATGTCAAGCTAGCAACATGAAGTGCTGTTTACTATACACTGCAATCTGTTCATGTTCATGGGTTACTTATTTTATTTATTTATTTAATCAATCATTTTAAAAATGTATTATTTATATTTTTCTTATTTCTTAATTCTTGTTTTCTCTCTATAGGGCACCCTTTCTTCCATGGCTCAGGAAACGCTCCTGGATAGAGCCAACAAGATAACTCTCTGGTAAGTTTTTGACTCACTTTTCAAAGTTAAGGATGTTAACTTGTTATAATGAAGTGAATATTTTCTTTGAGTTTTCTGAGTGTTTTGTAATTTGTTTCCCTCTGTGTAAAGACTCATCTGTTCTCTGTTTTTACTCCCTGCACCTCAGTGTGGACTTAGGCTGCCAAGGCCTGCCAAGGGCTGCAGATGAAGATGGGGAGTGTCCGCTGCAAACTGGCCCACTATCTGGAGGACTTGGAGGAGGCAGACTTTAAGAAATTCAAAATGCACTTAGAAGACTATCCTCCTCTAAAGGGCTGCATCCCACTCCCACGGGGTCAGACAGAGAAGGCAGACCACGTGGACCTAGCCACTCTGATGATCGACTTCAATGGGGAGGAGAAGGCCTGGGCCATGGCGGTGGGGATTTTTGCTGCAATCAACAGGAGAGACCTTCATGAGAAAGCTAAGTGGGATGAACCAGACTGGAGTAAGTGAAAGAAAGGATATTTTTTAAAGTCATGATATAGTACACAGAACACAGAATTTAACATCTTAATTTTAAGTGTGCAGTTCAGTGACATTGACTATATTCACATTGTTATGCAACCAAGCTCTAGAATTCTTTTCATCTTGCAAAACTGAAACTCCTTACTCATCAAACAATAACTTCCTGTTACCTTATCCCTGGTAACCACCATTCTATTTTCTGTCTCCATGAATTTGGCTAGTTTGCATACCTCTTATAAGTGGAATTGTACAGTTTTTGTCTGGTTGTGGTTCATTCCACTTAGCATAATATCCTCAGTTTCATCCATGTTGTAGATGTGTTATTATTTCCTTATTTTTAAGATTAATAATACTATATTACACATACACACACTCACATATATATACACATCACATTTTGTTTCTCTGTTTATATATTGATGGACACTTGGGTTACTTCCACCTTTATATTTTTGTGAATAATGCTGTTATGAACTTCAGTATAAAATATCTCTTCAAGACTCTGCTAGAATTCTTCTACATGTATGCCCAGAAATGGGAATTATAGATCATATGGTAATTTTCTGAAAAAAATTACCATAGTAATAATTTTTAATATAATTATTTATTTTATTTTATTTATTCTTTCACTTATTTTTGAATTTGACCAGAGAGAGACAGAGAGTGAGAGTGAGAGAGGAAGTGAGAAAGCAAGCCACCAGATTCAGAACTCGAACACGGGTCGGCCATGTGGGAGTGTCCAGCACCTTAACCACCACGCCACCTGCTGGTCCCCAGTAATAGTTTTTTAAAGAACTGCCATATTATTTTTACAAGAGTTGTACTGTTTTATATTCTCAGCAATGGTGTACAGTAATTTTGATTTCTCTATATCCCCATGAGCTTATTATTTTTCTCTCTTTTTATTTGATAGTAGCCATCCTAATGAGTATGAGTCTGTACCTTGTCATTGTTTGGATTTGCATTTCTCTAATGATTAATGATGCTGAGCATATTTTCATGTGCTTATTGGTCATTTATGTATCTTCTTTGGAGAAAGATCTAGTCATTTATTCAGATACTTTTCTCTTTTCTAATCAGGTTGGTTTTTGTTGTTGACTTGTAGATATTCTTTATATCTTGGATATTGACCGCTTATTAGATACATACTTTGTAAATATTTTCTCCCATTCTGTGGATTGCCTTTTCACTCTGTCGATTATGCCCTTTAAGGCACTAAAATTTGTTTGTTAAAGTTATTTCTTGGGGTCAGCAGGTAGTGCAGTGGCTGGGACCCTGGACTCCCACGTGGCCAACCATGGTTCAAGTCCTAGACCTGGCAACTTGCCCTCACATTCCCTCTCTCTCTCTCTCATCTCTGGTGAGCACACATGCCCGATAGCAAATTAAAAATAATAATAATAAGGGGGACCAGCAAATTGTGTAATGGTTATGTCGCTGGACTCCCATGTAGTCAACTACAGTTCAAGTCCTGAACCTGGCAGCTTAAAAGTCACACAGGGTGCATGCGCATGCGTACCCAAAATTCCAAGAGGAGAATGGAGGAGAAGGGTTGCGATGTGGCCATTGTGATGTGGCCATCCCCGGTGGTGAGTGATTTCTTGCCTTTTGTCTCTCTCTGTCTCTCTGGGGTACACACATTCCCTATAGCAAAAAATCTCTCTAAAAGTCATAAATAAATAATAATAAAAATTAAAATAAATAATTCTTTAAAAAAGGTTATTTATTGTGTTACCCTGGCTTCTTCCTCTCATGGTAGTGATATGAGAAGATGGAGGAAAGCAGTTTGTGTTATTTTTCCTTTTTTAGGTTTTTGCCATAGGGCACATGTGCTTTCAGGAGAGAAACAGAAAGAGAAAGAGGGAAAGTGAAAAATTGCCCCCGTTCCCCAGGGGATGGCAAGGCTACAGTCCTTCCTCCTTCATTCTCCTGTTGGGATTTTGGACACATGCACACACACCCAGCACGATCTATCAAGCCATCAGGTCTGGGGCTTGAACCACTGTCAGCTACATGGGAGTTCAGTGTCTTAACCACCACACCACCTGCTGGTCCCAGAAGTTTTTTTTTTTTTTAAACTCCTTTAAAAACTCAGATTTTACCTATTTCCAGCAACCTGCCTTGATTAGTATCACTTTTTCAGAATCTATCTGGTGGCTGGACCTGCCTCCAGGTCTCTATCCAGCTCCTCGCATCATGTGTCTTGTTTGGTGTCTGCCTACTTGGGCAACAAGCTTGCGTGTCTGCTTCCTGTGGCTCAGGGGCCAATCTCTCACTTTACGGAATTATGTAATTTGCGGGGAAATACTTTTTTACAGACACTACTTTGGGAATCACAGTGGTGAAAAGGCTCTCTCATTTCCTGTGTGTGCTGAGGACGAGGTCCTTTCTCCAGCTTTGTGTTCTGTGCAGCAGAAGGCTGCGAGAGGCTGGGGGACTCGACGTAATGCAGTGAGCCAGGGTGCAGAGGAGGAATGCACATGTGTCCGTGGGTGAGGAGAAGCACACCAGGGCAGAAGTGCACATGTCACGTGAGAGAACAAAATGGCACAGGGGACAGAGGCAGGGTGTGCGGCAGTGGGATGCTATGAACAGCTTGCGTAGAATGGCACAATAATAATTGTGCCTGTATTTGCATACTCAGATAAACAAATTAAAGTGTAATACCCATAACTGTAGAAGTACTTCACTAACAGTTTTTATGAATTTTGTTGTTCACTCAAGAACCCCATGAGGCAGTTACTGGTTTTATCCCAACTCTCAGGAGAAAGAAGTGAGCCTGGAAGAGATTCCAGATTGCCCTCTATTCTGCCCTGGTTCCTTACTATTCAGAGCCAAGGCCAGAACACAAAGCCAGATGTGTCTTTGGTCAAATTCCAGCTCTTAGTCACTATGCCATGTTGGCTCCCATACCTGGATTTGGAGGCAGAAAAATTATAACTATAACCCAAGTTATAATTTTTAAAATTTTTATTTTATTCTAGCCTAGGGTTAGGCTTTAGGTAAGAATTAAGTTTTGGTTTAGGTTTCCGTTAATGTTTGGATTTTGTTTTGTGATTGGGTTACTAGTAGCATTCACTTCTGTAATAAGTGGACACCAATCAGGAATCTCTTATGTTCCTGCCACCTCAGTTACCGGTCCCTGTGTCTCCCCCGGTATCTAGCTTTAGTTATACCATACCTAAATCTCTCCTAGACAAAGTCTATTTGGGATATGTTAGCTAGTGATTGTTTGAGCCTGTGATTCTCAGTCACAGGTACATGTTGGGGCCGCCTGGGAGCTTTTACTATCCAACAAGGCCTGGGTTTCTCCTCAGATTGACTGAAAAAGAGTGGTGGGGCTGGCATCCTAGAATCAGCATTTTTAAAACTTTCAGTGTGAATCCGAAGTCAGCTTGGATTCTGAACCATCAAATTAGACATTACAAAGATTGCAACTCTCATTCTTGACCTGGAAATCTACCCTTCATAACACAAGACCTGTGGATACTATGGGTGCCAGGCATCTGGGCTCTGGGAGGGAGACCCTTCTTGACCCATAGCCATTTTGGAAACATTAGAAAGCTTGGGGGGATCTCAAAACCACGGCACCAAGGGCTGCAAAAGACTAAAGGGAATGAAAGAAATGCTGTGGGTGCCCTCACACATTTACTGATCATCTCTGGGCCTGGGAATATATTCCGAGATTGGCTACGATGGGAACACGATGCTTAGCAGAGGGTGATGGCCATTGGTTTGGAACTGGGAGTGCAGGAATGTCCCAACAGAACTTCGACTGCACATCTGTCACTTGCCACTCTGAGTCATGTTTTGATTGGGAAATGTCTGAGACCGTAACCTTTGACCCATGCCAACTGAGACCTAAGGCTGGGTCTCAATGATATCCTCTGTGTTAAGGGATGCGGTTTTTGACACATCATACAATATGTATTTTTTTAATGCTTAGGAAATTCACATGTTTCTAATCCCACTGTGATATGCCGGGGAGAGAGCACTGAAGAGGACTGGACGGGGCTACTGGGGTACCTTTCCAGAATCTCCATTTGTAAAAAGAAGAAAGGTAAGCAATTGAGATGGCACTTTCATTTTTATGTGCGTATTTATTTTTTTGCTATAAGGGAGGTGTGCTTGCTGGGGAGAGACAGAAAGAAGAGAAATAGAGGAAAAGTAAGAAAGCACCCCCCAGAGGGCCATGCGTGATCCCTTCTCCATTCCCCTCCTTGGATTTTGAGCACACATGCACACATTTCTGGTGTCTCCCAAGCGGGCAGGTCAGGGACTCAAATTGTGACGTAGGCTATGTGGGATCCAGCTGCCTTAACCACCATGCCACCGGCTGGCGCCTCATTGGGGCTCTAAGACGTGGCTTAGGAGCACTGAGAAGCTGAGTGGCTGAGTAACTTGGCTTCTGTTCCTCAGAATGTGAAGGCCTGTCTTAGGGACTTTACAATCAGCTGAAAAGCCAGACTCATGTTCGCATGGCTCTTTGCAGTCCCAGAACTGGTAGGAGAGGATTGTTTCAAGTTTTAAAAGGCACAGGCTGCACACTCCTTGAAGGAGTAAGATTGAAAAGAGGATTTTCTGGCTGGCAGCTGCACATACAGCCCTTGTCTCCAACCGTGTATGTAGAGGATTTGTTACCAGGATTTTTATAACCTTCCATACCAAAGAAGAGGAGGGCAATGACAGATCCAGTTTCCCATTTTAGCTGCCACTCCTTCCAGATCATAGACCCCTCTCTACAACTCATCTCAGGAGGATGTGTTGGGCTGCTCCCAAGGTCTAACATCCTGTCCTTGCTGTAGATTACTGCCGGAAGTACAGAAGGCATGTGAGAAGCAAATTCCAGTGCATTGAAGATAGGAATGCCCGTCTCGGTGAGAGTGTGAACCTCAACAAACGCTACACACGGTTGCGTCTCGTCAAGGAGCATCCAAATCGGCAGGAGAGGGAGCACGAGCTTCTGGCCATTGGCAGGACCAAGACATGGGACCGACCTGTGACTTCCGTTAAGCTGGAATTCCTGTTTGACCCTGATGATGAGCACGTGGAGCCCGTGCACACAGTGGTATTCCAGGGAGCAGCGGGCATTGGGAAGACAATCCTGGCCAGGAAGATTATGCTGGATTGGTCATCAGGGAGACTCTACCAAGACAGGTTTGACTACTTGTTCTACATCCACTGTCGGGAAGTGAGCCTGGTGACTCGGAGGAGCCTGGGGGATCTGATCGCCAGCTGCTGCCCTGACTCAAACCCACCCCTAGGCAAGATTGTGAGCAAGCCCTCCAGGATCCTCTTCCTCATGGACGGCTTTGATGAGCTACAAGGTGCATTTGACGAGCACGAGGGAGCTCTGTGCACCGACTGGCAGAGAGCTGAGCGGGGAGATGTGCTCCTGAGCAGCCTCATCAGGAAGAAGCTGCTTCCTGAGGCCTCCTTGCTCATCACCACCAGGCCTGTGGCCCTGGAGAAACTGCATCACTTACTGGACCACCCTCGTCATGTGGAGATTGTGGGTTTTTCAGAGGCCAGGAGAAAAGAGTATTTCTTCAAGTACTTCTCAGATGAGTCTCAAGCCAGGGAGGCCTTCAGTCTGATTCAGGAGAACGAGGTTCTCTTCACCATGTGCTTCATCCCCCTGGTCTGCTGGATTGTGTGCACTGGCCTGAGACAGCAGATGGAGAGTGGCAAGAGTCTTGCCCAGACGTCCAAGACCACCACTGCAGTGTATGTGTTCTTCCTTTCCAGTCTACTGCAGCCCCGAGGAGGGAGCCAGGAGCACCACCTCTCTGCCCACCTCCGTGGGCTGTGCTCTCTGGCTGCAGATGGGATCTGGAACCAGAAGATCCTGTTTGAGGAATGTGACCTCAGGAATCATGGCCTGCAGAAGGCTGACATTTCTGCCTTCCTGAGGATGAACCTGTTCCAAAAGGAGGTGGACTGTGAGACATTCTACAGCTTTATACACATGACCTTCCAGGAGTTCTTTGCTGCTATGTACTACCTGCTAGAAGAGGAGGAAGAGGGAGTTGTCAGGAAGCCAGGGAGTTGCTCGAAGCTTCCAAACCGAGATGTGACAGTACTTCTCGAAAACTATGGCAAATTTGAAAAGGGATATTTGATTTTTGTTGTCCGTTTTCTCTTTGGCCTTGTAAACCAGGAGAGAACCTCCTACTTAGAGAAGAAATTAAGTTGCAAGATCTCTCAGCAAATCAGGGTGGAGCTGCTGAAATGGATTGAAGCTAAAGCCAAGGCCAAGAAGCTTCAGATCCAACCCAGCCAGCTGGAGCTGTTCTACTGTTTGTACGAGATGCAGGAGGAGGACTTTGTGCACAGAGCCATGGATCACTTCCCCAAAATTGAGATCAACCTCTCCACTAGAATGGACCATGTGGTGTCTTCTTTTTGCATTGAGAATTGTCGCAGCGTGGAATCACTTTCCCTGGGGTTTCTCCATAACTCGCCAAAGGAAGAGGAGGAAGAGGAAGAGGAGGAGGACAGTCAACATCCAGACATGGGCCAGGGTGTCCTCCCAAGCCCTCAGGCCACCTGCTCCAATCGGTAAGGAAAGCTGGCTTCAAGCAGTTGGTATAATATGCCCTTCACTTTCTGGCCACCTTTTGTGGGCACTTGCTTCTTTCTTTCTTCTCTTTTCTACCATCTTCTAAATGTAATCGGCACAGCTACATAACATTGCTGTCCCCATTCACTGCTCCAGACCCTTTCCCTGGCAGAGAGCGGCTTGTGGTAGGTGGACTCATGGGAAGACAAAACAACCTGATGAAATAAGAAGCAGAAGTTCTGGGGAGTGTAGGTTCAGCGTGAGGTTTTGCGTGGGATGTATTACTGCGTACAGATGTTTGTAAACTTACACTGCTGGTACTTTGCTCGGAGCTGTAATGCATAATAGACAATTCCTAGGGGCACTCAGCATCAGAGATTGTGTCCCAAGAACACAGAGGACATAGAGCTAAAGGCTGTGGGAAGTTTCTCAGAGGAGTGAAGTCTGAACTTGACTTGAAGGGTTGGTAGAATGTAGGTGAGTAGAGGAGAAGATAAAAGGATTCTGGTGATGGCCTGGTGTGAACAAAGAAGTTACAGATGAAGTCTGCGAAAGAGT